ATATGTTTATTGGCCATTTGGATTTTTATCTCTGCGAATGCAATATCCTTTGATTATTTTGTATTTCTTATATTTTTGTCTTTTTCTTATTGACTCATTAGTATTCTATACGTATTCTGAATACTAGATCCTTTATCCAACAAATTATCTATAGTCACATTTACCAGCCTGTTTGTTTATTGCTTCAATAAAGTACTTCTTAGGCTTTTCTGTGAGTTAAACTCTTTCTACATAAAGTGTGATCCATGGGCCAGGAGCATCAGCATCAGCTGGGAATTTGTTAAAAATGCAGATTCTTAGGGCCCACCTGAGACCTGCTAAATCAGAATCTTAATTTTAACAAGACCACTAGATGATATTTATGTGCATTAAAGATTTTTAAATACTGGATTAAGTGATTAAGAAAGTGCAAATTTTCTTCCCTGGGGTAATAGCATAGTAGTCCCCGCCTGCTTTCTGCTGTTTTTTTTTTCTTTTTTTAAAGATTTTATTTATTTATTTGATAGAGTGAGAGAGCACAAGCAGGGGGACCAGTAGAGGGAGAGGGAGAAGCAGGCTCCCCGCCAAGCAGGGCGCCCGATGCGGGGCTCAATCCCAGGACGCTGGGATCATGACCTGAGCTGAAGGCAGACGCTCAACCATCTGAGCCACCCAGGCGCTGCTGCTGCTTTTTTATAAAAGAAATTCCTTGGCTTTGGACCTGTATGTCCTCAGTTCATATATCCTGGAGCTGTACCACAAAATTTCAGAAATCAAAGAAGCTATTAGAATCTGATTTATTGATCTCGGGGCCATGAGATTGAGCCCCGCATCAGGCTCCCCGCTCAGCACAGAGTCTGCTTAAGATTCTCTCTCCCTCTGCCTCCCCCTGCCCCCCAGTGTGCACGTGTGCTCTCTCTCAGATAAATAAATCTTAAATATAAAAAAAAGAATCGATTTGTAAGTCTGGATGTTTATGGGATTTCGTAGTGGGGTTTTCAAAGTGGAGATACACCTGTTTTTCTGATTCCCAAGAAAGAAACAGTGTTGGCAACTGCATTGTAATGCAATTCAAAATGCAAGCCTTGAAGGTTTTGTTGAATGCTGCCAAGAAAGGAACTAGTTCAGCCAGGAAGCATAATCCATCAAATGCCTTCCTTGTTCGTACATGCCTCTATTTTTAAGTTGACACAGAATGCTCCAGAAATGAATAACAACTAGAATTAATAGGGGAAACTGCCCAGAGTTGTGCATGTCGTCAGACATGTGGTGACTCCTCTATATCAACATGATTTCCTGAGGTTGGCCAGCTAGGAAGGGGAGCACACACGGTGAGAACACAGGACTGCAGCCGAGAGTCGTAAAATTATACCTCAGAACTCCCTGCCTTCTCCAGCACGAGGGAAGTGACTCCACAGGTTGAGACCATCTGGCTACGGGGGTGTGGTGGAAATACGTACTCCTTCCTGAATGTCACGGATGCTCCCCCCTATCCCCGCCTGCCCGTAGTATGCAGGGGCACAGAACACTGGATCTGGCAAGGGGTGGTAAGAAGCAGAAACGTGTTCCCTCTGGCCTGAAACATTTCATTTCCTGCTTCCTCTCTCTCTAGACCTGCTACGGCAAGCAAAGAGGTCAGGAGTCACAAATGGTGCAGCTACGAGATCAGTGGTCCCGGCCCCTGAGTGATCAGGTAAAGCAGATCCTCCCCACTGACCCCTGTTGGACATGTAGCATGAGTGAGGGAAAGAACACTTTTGTTTGTGTCAAGCCACTGAGATTTGAGTGTTGCTTGCGATGTAGCATAGCCTGGGTTATGCGGATACAGTGAGTATAGATGACTCTGCCTTATTCATGAGAGCTAACACTGTTGAGTGTTACTCCCTAGCCCAGGCACCACACTGTGTTCCATGTGCATGATCTAGTACCTCCCCTTCCAGGACAGACAATAGTATTATATATTATATGACATATGCGATATGTATCTGTATCATATGTATCAAGTTTATGTAGATACCATCTTTTTATATGTATATATATCATATATAAGATATAGATATGATATATATATGATATATATATATCATATATACATGCGGTATATTGTGCAAGGAGGTTTTCTTCCTTTCTTCTTGTTATGCTAAAGTAGTGTCTCCCCTTCTAGCTAAGACTAGTCCCTCCACAGGCAATCTGGATACCATCTCTTCCTCCCTTATAGTATTGGTTATTCCTTCACTCTCCTGAATCTGTGTTTTCTCTCCTATTTGCTTTGCCCCTCACCATTCTCAGGTCTCTCCAAACTTAAGAGAAGCTCTCCATCCACCTCTCTTGCCCCTCCAAATACTATCTCCTGTCCTCTCCCATCCCATTTCAGTCTCCTGGATGTCCAAACTGTTCACCCACACTTGTTTCTTTCATCTTTTCCCACTCTCTACTCCAGTATTGTTTCTTCCTCCATCACTCTACCAAACACTTCTTTTCAGCATTAATGATATGCATTGAGAAATTCAGGGGGCAGTTTCCACCTTACTTCATTTCTCAGCATCACGTGACACAACTGACCACACCCTCCTGTTGAAACCCTATTCTGTCGGCTCTCTCTCTGTGGCTCCTCTCTGCTTTCGAGCTTCATCATCTCTTGCTGGGCCATTAAATGTTGGCCTTCAGCACGACTCATCCTAGCCTCTCTTTCCTTTTCATTCTATAGTCACTTTCCAGTCTTTCACCTAGAAGTCTTTCCCGAGGCTACCTAGACCCAGGCACCCCCAAATATGTCTCTCCATCTGGGGCTCCTACTTGCCAATTGGCTGCTCAGCTCAGCACCTCCACTTTGATGCCTTAGTGTGCTCAAGGCTGAACTGTAATGTTCTCCCCACCCCGCCTGCCTAACTCCACCCTTCCTTCTCTTTCCTCGGTGTGCCCCATCTTAGTGAATGGCACCACCCTTCCCCTTTTTGCTTATGTTGAAAACCCGGGAGTAGAGCTGCATCAATACTTTCTGGAACACTCAGCAGCAAAATGTGCTTTCTCTTTTTGAAATTTAAAAAAAAAACAAACTTGGGGCGCCTGGGGGGCTCAGTTGGTTAAGCGTCTGCCTTCGGCTAAGGCCATGATCCCAGGGTCCTGGGATCAAACCCCACATCGGGCTCTCTGCTCAGTGGGGAGGCTGCTTCTCCCTCCTCAGTGGGGAGGCTCCTTCTCCCTCCCCCTCTCCTCCCGTGTTCCTACTTTCTAGCTCACTCTCTGTCTCAAATAAATAAATAAAATCTTTAAAAAAAAACTAAACATAGCATAACTAAAGGAAGTTTTTAAAAATTCTTATTTTCCCATAGTGACTATTATGATGCTTACACGAAGAATATCTTATTTTTCCCAAAATAATTTAGGGCCCTTCTTTGCTGTTGTTCTTTTTTTTTTTAAGATTTTATTTATTTATTTGACAGAGAGAGACACAGCGAGAGAGGGAACACAAGCAGGGGGAGTGGGAGAGGGAGAAGCAGGCTTCCCGCCGAGCAGGGAGCCCGATGCGGGGCTCAATCCCAGGACCCTGGGATCATGACCTGAGCCGAAGGCAGACACTTAACAACTGAGCCACCCAGGCGCCCCCTTTGCTGCTGTTCTAAGAGCTCTTTGGTAGTCCTGCACTGCCTGAGTCAATAGTCAGATACCATTTCCTATTGATTCTACCTCCTAAGACATTTTCAAGTCGGCCTGCTCTAGATCTGCCAATACACCATATTCTAAGCCATAGTGACTGGTTGTTGGTATATCTGCAGTAGTCTCTGAACCCTCCTCCTTGCTCCAATTTATTCCCCACAAATCAGCCAGGCAGAATGATTCCAGAAATACACATAGCTGATCCTGTCACTCCACTGCCTAAAACCCCTCAATGGCTTCCCATTGTCCTTAGGGTGAAATCTCAGATCCTTAACAGGCCCACAACCCTGCCACTTTGCCATGAGCTGGTGTTACCTCTTTGAGCTCCTGGAAAGAGCTCTGTTCTTTATGAGCCTTTGCCCACGATTTACTTTCTGCCCAGAGCTCTCTCACCTCTCCCAGCTTATCCTTCTTCAGTTCTTAGATTTAATGATGTTTCTTCAGATAAGCATTTCTTAACATCTCACACCATGTCAGTGCTCTCCATTAAACACTTTCTTTGTACCCCCCACTTTGCTTTGTAAGTAAATGATTATTTGTGTATTGCCTCGTTTAATCTCTCCTTCCAGTTTTAATCAGACTTCCTGAGAAAGTCAATAACATGCTCTCCTACACACAAGGTCCTTGAATCCAGCTTTGATTCCAGAGCTCGTGCCCACAACTAGCACATGTACATACATTTCCTCATCCTGGAAGTTGGCTTTTTGCCTCTTTGTTTTATGGTGTATGGGAAATTAAAGTTTGACTGTAGAAAAATCTCTCTGGATGAACCCTAAAGCAATGGTGTTCTAATGTTGGTGAATCTCTTTGTGCATTTCCTGTCAGTAGTGGATGGCGCACCTCAGCCTTCTGGGGGAGGACAGAGGGAGACATTCAAAGCTGTCGACAGGTTGGGCTGGCTAAACTAGACCCCAGCTCTCCTCCACTGTATAATCAACACATCCACGAGGGAGCAACATGAACCACCTTACAGGACTGCGGTAGGACTCATTCATTCGTTAAAGATTTAATGAGCATCTAGTATATGGAAGGTCTCGGGTTACATGCTGGGAATACAAATGCGTTTTGGATGTTTAGCAGAGTCCCTATTTCATTTAGTTAGAGACAGTCACTTATTACTAGTACTATTACAGTTATGTGTCGACGTTTGCCTGCGTCACACAGCATGAGTGACAGAGCATGTGATATTTGTGACGTTTGTCACTGTGCTTACGGGGTCCCTGCGGGGCCTAGATAAACCGCCAACATCAGCGTTGCGGGCTCAGAAGCATCACTGCGCGGCGTGGCCGCCCCTCCCCTCCCGGCCACCAGAGGGCGCGCGGCCTCTACCGCCCCGCCCGCTGCGTCTGCGCCTGCGCCTGCGCCGTGCCAGCCGCCCGGCCCTCCGCTCCCCTCCCCCGGCGCCGGCCCCGCCTCGCGCCCTAACGTTCCGCCTCCGTTGCCCCTAGCGGCTGTTTGTTGACTTCCGGGGACGCGGTAGTAGCCGATGTCCGGGGTGTCGCTATGGGGGCCCGGGGGGCTTCCGCGGCCCGCGTCGGGACTGAGGTGCTGCCATAGGCCCCACCGAATCGCCTTTGCCACCTTTCCGGTTCAGGCGCAGGCTCCCCGCACCGCCCTCAGCATGGGGGAACCCGAGGAGGTGGTGCCCGGTGAGTCGCGTCCGCGGGGGGGGGGCGGCGGGCCGGGAGGGAGGGTCCGCGGGCGGGCGGGCGGGCGGCCAGGTCCCGCCTCCGGGCCGCCCCGTCGGGGGAAAGGCCCGGGCGGCGGCCGCGGGACTGGGTCTGGAGCTCGGGCCGCGCCTCCGCGAAAGCTGGAGAGGAGCGGAAAGGAAGGCGGGGGGAAACACGGGGAAGGGGGTGCTTGTGTTTTCTTCTCTTTCTTTTAAAATAAGCTTTCGATGAGTTTCTCGAACGCGGGGGCAGTTTTTACCTCCCTATAAACTTCCGCAAAGTACCTCCCTCGAGGTCCCCAGGACCCAGTCATGTATTGAATGCGGTAAAGAGTGGGTGACTAGAGAGCGTGGGGTAAAAGGAAGGGGGGAAACAACTTAGAGAAAGGGGGTGCAGAGGGAGCCATTACGAGTGCTCTTTCAAGACTTTTTCTCTGAGCTCCAGAAATACAATTGACATTGTGACGCCGTACCACACGTATAGTGTAACAGACGTAGACGTTTCATGAAGTGGTGCTTATTCTAACCACTTGGTATGCTCTCAGATCTTTTTTATAGTACATTCCTTTAAAAATGATAATCGTGACCCACTAAATTGATTTTCTGACCCACTAATGGGTCGAGACCAACAGTTTGAAAAAAAACTGGATTACAGCAGAATCAAGTGTGTGTGTGTACATATATATTTAGCGTTTTCTGCCATGCTCTTGGCTCTAACATGATTAGATTCCTGACCTCCTGGAGTTCACAGGCTAGTAAGAGATACTAGAAAGTAAACAAAATGACAGTACCATTTCACAATAGATACCAGGTGACAGAGCAGTGCCACCAAACCCTGGCTTGGGGTGAGGGTATCAGGGCAGGCTATCTGGGAAGCCAGAATAGAACAAAACAAAATTATTCATTCTAGAAAAACCCAGAGTGTGTTCTAGAACCTGGCCTCTTCAATTTCAATTATCAGTTTGAATTGACACACCTCACAATTGTTCTCAAAGGGTTTTTCACAGTGGCTAGTCCCTTGTACATTATCATTTATTATTAATACTTATGTTCCCTATGTGTGATTATTCTCCTTGAGATTTCCTCAAAAGCTGGATCTGGCCTTGTGTGTGTGTGTTTAAATGGTTATTGAAAACTGGTAGGGATTTTTGGTCTCTCTCTAAAATGGTACTGGACCAAAATAGTCTGTGAATACTACTCAGATCAGGTAGTATTTAATGACTTAAGAATGTTAAATCTCAACATCCTATATCGACATGATGCTAATGATGAAACTCAATACTGTCCTGTTCCCATGTGTGGAGAAAAGCCTTCAATCGGGCTAGACTGTGAGGTGTTAACCAGTGTTAATGGGGCACGGATTTTATCAGTCAGCTCATTCCAGGGAGCAGGTGGTCCACCTGGGCACGGCAGGACTTTTAGTATCGCGTTGAGAACTGCCTTCCTTTTTTTACTTTCCACCAGTAAATAATACATATTTAGTAGATTTCATAAATAAAACCAGAATAAAGTCTGAGGAGTGAGACTGAAGGTAGAAGGAGGATGTAAACAGTGCTAGAGCGGAAGCAAAGCTGCCACAAGACAAGGAATCTGTATAGATAAGTTACTGAAAAAAAATAGTAACAGACAACATAGTAAAAGTTGTAAAATATACTGTCGTATATTTGCAGGTTCGGGTGCTGTGTTTACATTTGGAAAAACTAAATTTGCTGAAAATATTCCCAGTAAATTTTGGTTTAAAAATGATATACCTACATTTCTTTCATGTGGAGATGAACATACTGCTATTGTTACAGGTTAGTATTGAAATCCTAACTGAGGATGGTAATCCTTAGAGAACCCTAAATATTATAGATGTGCTGCGTTTCAAACATGTTGAATATATTTCCTTTACCAGAATAATGTTTTTTCTTTCTTTTATCAGAGAATTCTTGACAATTTGATTCATCAAGAGAGTGTTTTAAATTTTGAATCCCCTTGGTATATTTAAATATGATTTTGTATACACACTACTTTCTTGGAATAAATTTATTTTAATATATCTATATGATCAAAAGTGATTACTGCATAATCTTAGAAACATTTTTTTAAAGATTTTTTATTTATTTATTTGACAGAGAGAGAGACAGCGAGAGAGGGAACACAAGCAGGGGGAGTGGGAGAGGGAGAAGCAGGCCTCCCACTGAGCAGGGAGCCCGACATGGGGCTCGATCCCAGGACCCTGGGATCATGACCTGAGCCGAAGGCAGACGCTTAACGACTGAGCCACCCAGGCACCCCTCTTAGAAACTTTTTTACACCTAACAGAATCTGGTAACCCCTAGATGGACAGTTAAAACAATTCATTTTAACCTGTTTGTAACCTTGTAACCTGTTTCAACACGGAAAAGCAATACAACTTTTAAGTGTAGCTTTTTTATTGCTTTGTGATGACTTCATCTCATATGACTTTATGTTGAAAATGCTTCAGTTTCTTATGTCTTTTTCCTTCCCACCAGGAAATAATAAACTTTACATGTTTGGCAGTAACAACTGGGGCCAGTTAGGATTAGGATCAAAGTCAACTGTTAACAAGCCAACATGTGTCAAAGGTTTGGGGTCTTTTCTTCTTTATTGCTTTAAATACTTGCACTACATAAAGTACTTTTATTGATTGTGATGTTCTTTAATATCATATTAGGAATAATAAAGCCTTTAGTTCTTTAGTTTCCATTATTTACCTATTATTGGTGTTTAACTTTATTTTTTATATGATAATCAGAACTGCTTTTATATATTAGGGTCTAAAAATCACATTGCTTTTTAAACCCGAAGAACACAAAGGAAATAATAATTCTCCAGTATTGCACTTGAATATCCTTTTATTTTGCCTGTTTGTTAACCTGCTTAAATATTACTGTTATTGTATATACAAAGAACAACCAATACAGTATATAAGAATTTTGAGCTTTGTCTCATTTGTTAGAGTTGTGGACATCATGGTTCTATGTAGTTGTTGGTTTTATGAATTATGCTTTACCCTGCTGCATATAGTGAGTAGCTGTACTGAACGAGACATCGGGACTAGGGGTTAATTAGTACTAGTGTCCTTACAAGAACAGGACAAAATATTTTAAATCAGGACTGTCCCAGAAAATATGGGATGTATAATACCTTTACAAAGCTTTCTTAGCATTATGTGTAAAGCTTCTGTTGGGTTGTTACCTGTGAACATCAGCTAAGTTTGAGTGGTGATGGAGATTCTTTGGGATGTGCCAAGAGCAGTATTCTTAATCTTCTTAGCTAAATTTTTAATTTCAGCTCAAAATGTCATTGTAATTTAGCATATCCATGCTATTTATAGATAATGTTATGGAATTTTCAAAGTATTCTACTTGGTCAAAAAGTGTTTATTGAGCACAATGTACTATAAACCCTAGGTTGTTTGGGGTTTTTTTTGTTGTTTTTTTTTTTTAAAAACCCTGGGTTTATTCACATGATCTTTACTCTCAGATATCTAATAGATGAAGTAACAGATTGTCTAGACTGAACTTTGACACCAGGGACTCTGTCTTAGTGATCTTTGCAGCCTCTATGCTAAGCACTTAGGAGGGGTTCTGTAAATCTTTTTTGAACATGTAAATGAATGAGTGAAGAGCTTTACCATAGGTTATGCCTATGAATATTGGACTTGTAGTGTTTCATTGTGTGAGGTAGAAGGTGAACTTGACAATGGTGGTAGCAGATTAGGGAATAGATCAGGTTGGTGAGGAGGCAGCATAAAGTGCCACAAATCTCAGTACATATTCATGACCTGTGGAGATTTGAAAAATACATAGCAGACCTACTGACTCACATTCCCCAGGGGTGGGGCTGAGCTATCTGTATTTTTTTCAAAGCTCCGCTGGTTATTATGATGCACAGCATGTCCTGAAAACTTTTGGCTTATTAGTTAAGAACATCAACTTTGGAGTCTGACGGGCCTGGGTTTAAATCTCGTTTCTACTGCTTAGTTACCATTTGACCTGTGTTATTTATCATTTTTGTAACCATTAAATCTTTTAATTGTCATATTTTTTTGTATTTTTAGCTTTAAAACCTGAAAAAGTGAAATTTGCTGCCTGTGGACGGAACCACACCCTAGTTTCAACAGGTGTAGTATTCAATCTGTATGACTTTCTTTCCCAGTTTGAGGACAGAGTTCTCATTTGTGGCTTTGTAAAATTAATAGAAATGGTACCTTGGCAATAATAAGATTAGGATTTTTAAAAATGTAAATGGTTAGCACACTTGTTTGCCTTTGAAAATACATAGATAAATGTTAACTGGCTGCAGAAAATCTTCTTTTCTTGGATTATGTCAAGGGGAAGCCCATCCTTACCTATGCGCACACCTCAGGGGCTGCTTGCTCCTGATCTTGCTCTTTCTTTTCTTTTTTTTTTTTTAAGATTTTATTTATTTTTTTGACAGAGAGCGAGAGAGGGAACACAAGCAGGGGGAGTGGGAGAAGCAGGCTCCCCGCGGAGCAGGGAGCCCGATGCGGGGCTCGATCCCAGGACCCTGGGATCATGACCTGAGCCGAAGGCAGACGCTTAACGACTGAGCCACCCAGGCACCCGCTCTTTCCTCTTTTCTGAGGGCGAGTGGAAGCCACCCCCAAAAGGCTATTGATGTGAGCACAATTCCAATCAGCATCCAAATGGGCTGTGTATGTCTCTGTGTAGAAACTGACAAGGTGATTCTAAAGTTTATATGAAAAAGCACAGGACCTAGAATAGCCAAAACAGTTTTGAAAAGAACAAAATCGGAGGACTAACACTACTGATTTCAAGACCTCTAAGGCCACAGTAATCAAGACACTGGGCTATTTGCAAAAAGAGAGACAAAGATTATCAGAACAAAACAGAGTCCAGAAGTAGACCCACACATATATGCCCAACTAATGTTTGGCAAAAGTGCCAAGGCAATTCAGTGGAGAAAGAGTAGTCTTTTCAACAGATGCTGCTGGAGCAAATGGACATCCAGGCACTGATCACCGAGCAGCCTTTCTTACCTCCTTCTCTCCCATAGCCTCTTCTGTGTTCAGGTTATTCTCACCACCTCCGGCTCCTCCTCAGGCCTTTCCCCTTATTCATCCTTTTTCCTTGCTAAAATATCTTTCTCTCATTCAGATTCTTATCTTTTAAGACCCAGTATAAGTCTTCTTCCATGGAGCTTTCTGTGCCTATTCAACTTTGACTCATGTCATGCTCTGAACTGCTTTAGTATTCCACCAACTCTGGTTCACGCGATATGTGTTAAATCACGTGGCCTTGTGGTATGTTCCGTTGGAAAGCTAGTCTTGGTTCGTCAGCTAGGTGTCATCTTTTCTAATATAATCTAACTTTAAATTTTTACTGATTCAGGCTGATTTTGCCCTCAGTTTCCCCTATAATTTAGTGAGGCTTTAACTTCATGTGCATTTGTATGACAGGTATAACTAATTTTTAATATGGGTATGTTTTTAAAAATCTTCATTATTTTTGAGCTTACTGGCAATTTTTATTATCTGGGTATGATACACTTCATATTTAATTAATAAAGTAATTAACACACATTTACATAGTGTGTACAACAAGCAAATGCCATTCTAAGAATTTTATAAATGTCAGCTAATTTGATCTTTATAAACAACTCTGTGAAGTAGGCAGTATTCTTATCCCCATTTTGCAGATGAGGAAAATGAGCCACTGAGAAGTTAAGTACAGCTTGCCCTAGGTCACACAGCTGATGAGTGGCAAGCCAGCATTTGCACCCAGGAAATCTGGCTCTCCAGTCCTTTCTCCTAAACACAATACTATACTGCCTTCCTATTTAGCTAGAAAATTAAAATACACATAGAATTTTCATGTTTCTAATGATACTCTTTTTGGATTTGCCTCATTTTACTCGTTACATATTATATCTTAACTTTAATGGGTATGGAAGTTAAAATTAATGAACCACATCTCTTAAAATAGTTTGATTTGGATTATAAACTAATTTGGAAATTACTTTCCTCTTTTTGCTCTGATTTAATAAAGTGCTGCATTAGCAAGAAAATACATTCCACACATTCTGTGCATTTCAGTTGCTACTTAAGCTCTAAACTGATTTAGAAAATCTCACAAACATGTATAATCTTGCTTGTTTTGCTTGATTTTTGATACCGAATTAAAGTTGTTCACCAAATGGTAGGATAATAAATGGTAGGATAATGTCAGCTTTCAGCTTTCTTCACTGTTAACAGGGGAAATATCTGGTACCTGGCCTGTCTCGTAAAGATGGTGACTGTGGTATATTGATGTTTCTTTCCTTTTCCATGTGCAGAAGGAGGCCAAGTATACGCAGCTGGAGGAAATAATGAAGGACAGCTGGGACTTGGTGACACTGACGAGAGAAACTCTTTTCATCTAATTAGTTTTTTTACTTCCCAGCGTAAGATTAAGCAGCTCTCTGCTGGATCCAATACTTCAGCTGCACTAACTGGTGAGACTTTGTTCCACTTCAGGCTGGGAACCATCCCTTTCCTTTAGACCAGGATATACCAACTGAGTCACCTGACCCCAGCATTGCTGTTTCATTTTCTTTCATTAACTATGTGTTTATGAAGACATAAAAATTGAACTTTGAATCATGACATAGAGTCCAGTTTTGTGCTTATTTAGAGTTAGATGTAAACACACACGTAGCTGCCATGCCTCCATCTACTCCTGTAGATATTAAATCGTCATTTGTGTGTTCTGAACGTTATATTTGCAGCCGTTATAAGGTTGCTGTCAGAAACATAGAAATCTATTAGATATGTGTTATCAGAATATGGTCTGGCGGCACCTGGCAGGCTCAGTCGGAAGAGCACGTGACTCTTGATCTTGGAGGGTTGTGAGTTCGAGCCCCACCTTGGGTATAGAGATTACTTAAATAAATAAACTTTAAAAAATAAAATAAAATATGGTCTGTATTGGTCATTGCATCTCTCTGCCCTCCCTCTCAAAGCCCATATGAGAAGTGTCTTTAAAATGGGAGCCAGGATACACGCAGTGTCTGTGAAGAAGCTGCTGTGGGCTTCTCCGCTCCAGTGGGGGAGCTGTGTGGCCCATGGCGCTGCTCCGGCTGCCGGGAGGGCTGGAGTCACATCTGCAGCGTCGTGCCCGCAGTACCGTCCACCGTCCACTTAGCCTCTCAGCGTCCTTGTGGTTCCTGTTTTCAGTTTTCCTTTGATTTGCCTTATTATTAAACCACTTCAAAGATTTGAAAATTTTAAATTAAAGGACGTAAGTCTTGATAATTTCTAAAGTATTTTGCCTAGCTTCACTTTTTCTTCCATTGAAACCCTAATCAGAAAGAATACACGCTAATGCATTTGGGAGATGCTCTATGTGCTCAGATATCTCCTTAATCTCTGAAGTTATGGTATGTGTTTTCAAGTATAAATTGTAAAAAAAAAAAAAAGTGAAATGCATTTCTTTTTCTTTTTTGTCTTTCTTTAAAACTTCGTTTTTATAGTATTCTCAAGAGCAAGGTCCTCCAGGCCCTTTTGACCTGGGACTTGCCCAGGAAATGTCCAGTGTGGCTCATGCTGTCCAGTTCAGTTGCAGCCTGACTGCTTGAAAAGAAGAAACATTTGCTGTTCAGAGATAGTAGACTAAGAAAAGGTTGAGATAAAAATATGGACACGATTAGCATCATGTTATCCTCTGTCCTTTATCATCATAGAAGCCTTTCATAGGAGAAATTGAACTCTTATGCAGCTAGCTGGTGTGAATGTCTTAGTAGCACTTTTCTCTCAAGACACGTAGTTTTTCTAAATTAAAAAATAAATGCTGTGTTGGAAATATAATAACTCGATAGCCTTGCTACCTCTTAAAACCTTTTTTTCCTCCTTGTGTTTTCTTTATAGAGGATGGAGAGCTTTTTATGTGGGGTGACAATTCTGAAGGGCAAATTGGTTTAAAAAATATAACTAATGTGTGTGTCCCTCAACAAGTGACTGTTGGGAAACCTATCTCCTGGATCTCTTGTGGATATTACCATTCAGCTTTTGTAACAAGTAAGACAACATTTTGGATTCATTATGTTACCTCGTACTTCTAAGTGTTTACTCAGTTAATGATAAAATCTAACATTTTACAGTTCTGTAGAAATAATGCCATGGCAGCCTATGTAATGAAATAATTGTGGTCCGTTTTGGGTCACAATGCCTCTCCATTTTAGTAATGACAGTTTATAATTCAAAACTCTGAGATGTTAACTTTTTTAGTGAATATTAGAAAATATTAGAAAAGCAAAATGTATGTCAGAGACTTCTAAACTTTGGTTCTCAAACTTCTTGGATTCCTTGGCGTTGGAAATGAGATCTATGGGCCACTTTCCCTTGGGTGCACTTGCCTCTGTACTTAGACCTACTCTACTCTTGTCCTGCTAATTAGCTTTTATTGTTTCAGTAAGGGAGTCATAGACTTTCACTGTGAGAGCAAGGATGTAGAGTAGATGGAAAAGGAAGATTGCTCAGTATGAGATAAGATTTCCTTTGCTGGAACTTTCCTTACCATCCCCAGTCTCTCCCTTTCTGGGGCTCCCTGGCAACCTTTTCTGCCTTAGTTAAATATTTGAAATGTTATAGTCTGTATCTACACAGGGAGTGATAGAAGTATGATCATTCCATCTTATTGGTGGTTTTTCTAACAGCATAAACACCTAGAGGGAATAGTTTTGTGGCCCCTCTTAGATATCTCTAAATCTTTTACATTCTATGCACCTCATATTCAGATTTAGAAAGTGCTGATTGACCCATTCCAGTGGCGCTCAGATTTCCCAGTGAATTGGTAGCACCATGGTACCAAGAGAGGGCAAACTCCCGACTCAGCTGGCATTGGTTGCCACTATATCAGCTTGTATCTTGAACAAACTAATAATAAATATCGTCAAATGAGGAAGTAAGTGAATGAACAATTCATTGTGTTCCTTGGGGCAATGCTACCTACCAACTTATTGGCAACTTTCTGGCTCCTGGGGTTGGTGTAGTCTATGCTCACTTTGTTTATGAGACAAAGAAACAAACAAAAAACACAGACGGAAAAACAAATAAAAGTCCAAGCAAAAGCATTGTCTTCTCTTTAGATTTTAATAAAACTGCCAAATTCAGTTTTATGACTAAACTCTAGCCAGTAGGAAAACAAGGAATTGCTCATTGTAGCCAACAGGCATTGCATTGAGCTTTTTTATTTTGTTTATATTTATGCCTTTTATTTAAAAAAACAGCTTTGTAGGGTGGAATTTAAGAAACAAGACAAATGAGCAAAGGGAAAAAAAGACAAATTAAGAAACAGACTCTTAACTAGAGAACAATCTGATGGTTGGCGGGGGTAGGAGGGATGGGTGAAACAGGTGAAGGGGATTAAGGAGTGCACTGTGATGAGCGCCAGGTGTTGTATGGAAGCGTTGAATCACTATATGGTACACCTGAAACTAATATTAACACAACTAACTGGAATTAACATTTTAAAAATTAAAGAAAGTCAAAGAACATACACAAACCCAGCTTTATTGACATACATACTTTACATACTTTACAGTTCACCCATGTTAAGGTGTGAGGAGCAGCAGGAATTTATAGACAAAAGTAGAAAGAAACTCATCTGGACTTAGTAACTCCTTTCATGTAAGAGGCATGGGAAAAAGAGGAAGGGAGCCGACAGAGCACTTCTGTGCTAGTGTTTGCTAAATACTGTATAGAAAACTGTGGTTCAGAAAATTTCATTTTCTGTGCAGATCAATCCAGAAAATCAGTAGAGCTGGGTTTGTAGTATTTAACCAAGTTTTAAGTGGTGCATACTATGTGTGTTGGATGTCCCACAGCTTCCCCAAGTTCTGTTTTGCTAGAAGGACTCTCAAGCTTCAATAGCTTGAGAGTTATACTCAATGGCAAAGATTTATTACAGCAAAGGATACAGAGCAAACACAGCTGGAAGGAGATAGGTGTCCTCCAGAGAAGTCTAGCATACACTTCCTAGTCCTTACTCTTTGCTGCACAGAACGTGCTTTGAACTACAGGGATGTGTGTGTAATGTCCCTGCCCAGAGAAGCCCACTCTATTCTCAGGATCTTTGGCTTTTATGTGGGGGTGCTGATTGTGTAGGCATACCCTGCTAGCAACTAGTCACAGCAACTGAAACTCCGATCCCTCAACAGTGAAACCAAGTGTACGTTATCAACGTTGATGGTTGTTCAAAGCAACCCTAAGAACCCAAGCTGTCATAATTTGTTGTTCAGGTTACCAAACAAAATCATCAGTCACTAACATAAAGAACACTCCAAGGGCCGCATTCCCAGGGGTTGGTCAATGGTCAATCATGGTTCTCTTGGAGACATGCAGATAATAACCAACCAGATATGCTGTGTTACCTCTCTCCTCACATGAATGGTGATATGTTTTGTGTCAGATCAGGTTATGTAGCTACAAAGGTGTTTAAACTCCTGCCTTATAGAACTCAGTTCAGTTCATAGAAATGAATTCTAAAAAGTTCCTGCTTTCGAGAAGCTCATAGTCATAGTGTGGTAAGAACATAAAAAATCACCTACCAACTTATTGGCAACTTTCTGGCTCCTACAATTCCCAGATGGAATCTGTTTCCAAGTTAGAAATGATTTTTTTTTAGTAGTGTTAGTATGGACAAGACAGTGATTAAATGTCACGAGTTCCTTGATAAGAGAATTTTTCCGGAGGAAGTGCTATCTAACTGAGCAAAATCTGCTCTCTTAAGGCTCACTCAACATATTTCCTTCACACACAAATGCATTTTCTAAAACAAGTTTCATAAAAGCAGTTATTCATTTAACAAGTATTCACTGAGTGTTTCATATATCAGACACTGCTAGGTTCTTGGAATACCAAAGTGAGCGAGACAAAATCCATGTCCTAATGGGGGCTTAATGTCTAGTCGTTTTGCTTTACTATAAAAGGAAGTAGAAGAAATAAGATGGTCTCTATGTGAAACAGCTAAAATCATTTTCTAGTTCATTAGTAGCGATGGTCATGAATTCATAAAGATTTTGGATTAGCATAATCAAGCTAAGATTTTAGCTTTATTTCCTTACCATACAGTAAAAATATCTCAAGAAAGGGTAAATTGATCAAGTTGTCATTTTCTAAATTTTTTATTGAACATGAGAATGTGTACCCCAAAGACTAGTATTTTGTCCATAATTATGTCATCCTTGATCATTGTTCTTTTCCTTCAATAGCGGAGGGAGAACTGTACACATTTGGAGAACCAGAGTGTGGGAAGTTAGGTCTTCCCAGTCAGCTGCTGGTCAATCACAAAATGCCCCAGCCGGTGCCTGGAATTCCCGAGAAGGTGGTCCAAGTAGCTTGTGGTGGAGGGCACACCGTGGTTCTCACAGGTACGTGTGGATCCTGCTGCTCTGTTCCCTGCTTTCTGGGGTGGCTAATAAAAAAAAAAAAATTACACTCATTTTCTTCTGTTGTGATAAAAACACAACATCTGATCCACTCTCTTCACAGATTTTTAAGTCTATAATACAGTATTGTTATCTACAGGCACAGTGTTGTACAGCAGATCTCTAGACCTTACCTTGCATAGCTGAAACTTTATACCCCTTGATTAGCTGCAGCCCTTTCCCCCTCTTAGCCCCTGGCAGCCACCACCCTAGTCTGTGCTTCTGTGAGCTTGACTTTATTAGATACCTCATACAAGATGGCCTCACATCTTTTTTCATTAAGATCCCCATCTTTGATTTCCATAGTTAATACACATCTTTGGCCTATGGAAGAAAACTGTAAGTAGAAAAAAATGAATCTTGTGGAATTGTTTTTGCTAACATAATGGACATTTTCATGATCTTAACACCTTTAATGGCAGCAGATAACATTGTTTTTAACTTGTTTTCAAGGACAAACTGCCTTGCACGCGCATGTGTGTGTGTGTGTATTCTATATTTATCTAAAATTGATATCACTTTTCCTGAAATACCTTCTTTTCCCTGTTCATGCTGTTTTCTATATGTCATTGATAATTCTTTTCTTTGTGATATTCACAATGTAAAACTTGGTAATTTCTTTGTGATTTTTTATGTTCTATTATAGTAATTCGACAAAAAGTGTTAAGATTTTAAATTACAGATATTTAAAGAAAGTTAGAATCTTAATAGCAATGTCAATTTTGGCTTCTGAATTTTATATTTGGTATGACATGTCATTTTTCAGGATTCCAGTCAATACGGTAAAATATACATACTCCCTGATAGTATGCTTACTAAATTGTTGCCTCCAAATTTGTTCAACATTAGATTTATTTGAGTAGCATACAGGTAATACAGCTAGTGAACTATTGTATTTTTTTGGTCAAAAAGAAATTAACAGTTTCTGAAGTCACCACTTAATCTTCAGTAGCCCAAAGGTAGCAGTGTTGTAGGCAAATTTTGAATAATATCCAATTCTCAGATGATATGCTTACTGTTGCAAGGTGATTGAGCGATATTTTATCTTTAGATTTTCCTCTCATATTGCTTTTCCTTGACTTTTTGTTCTAGTCCAAGTCATGCTTGTTAAGCGGTGGTTTCCCAGAATTACAATTCCCAGATGGAATCTGTTTCCAAGTTAGAAATAATTTTTTTTCAAGGCCTCCATTCTATATTTGGAAATAATTCTGAGGTTTAAGATTTCTTTGATTTTTCTGCTAACAAAATGGATTTCCATATTTTTTTTTTTTTTAAGATTTTATTTATTTATGTGACAAAGAGAGACATAGCGAGAGAGGGAACACAAGCAGGGGGAGTGGGAGAGGGAGAAGCAGGCTTCCCGCCGAGCAGGGAGCCCGATGTGGGGCTCGATCTCAGAACCCTGGGATCATGACCTGAGCCGAAGGCAGACCCTTAACGACTGAGCCACCCAGGCACCCCGGATTTCCATATATTTTTAAGAAGATTTATTTTAGGAATTTTAAACTTAGAAATTAATCTATAAATTATCTGAAAATGTATTCTGTAGGCAGAAATTCAATTTATTCCTTATGTGTTCTGTAATTTCTCTAGTTTAAACAAACATTATAGAATTTATTAGGTGATTGAAGGTTACTCTAAAGCACACAAATGTTGATTATGTAAAAATAACATCATTCAACTATATATTATAAAATGTCATTACATAAAATGAGCACCCAGATAATCCATGATACTTTTAATTATACTTAAAATTTAAAAATGCCCTGAAGTATGATATTTTCTTGAAATATTATAGACATTTAGCTTTCTGTGGACTTAATTTTGAGGTTAAAAACTATGTTGCCAGAAATTATTCTCTCTAGATTTTTGTAGACTTTGGGATCTCACATACCAGTATGTGAGTTTTTGTATTTTAAGTTTTTAATTTTGTGACAAGAATATGAAGACCAACAGATGGTTGCGATCTTCTGATCTGCATTTGGCTAAATACGGCATTGCGAAAAAATGCAACCTTTTCATCATTGTATCATAAATAAGGGGGCATTTCAAAACAAAAATTAAAAAACTCTCAATTTTATTGTAAAAGATACCCTCTTAAATTATATTCACTTATCTGTATGGAAAATTTACTGCTTTGTCTGTTTTTCACATTTCTCCGTGGACCTGTGCAAGCTTTGTTATGCGCCAGCCCTGGTGAGAAACCTGTGTTCTGGAGTACAGTGTAGACAGAAATAGTCCTAACTGATGACGAAACAGACCTGAAGCACATATTGATTATCAGTTTGACTAAGTACTAAATTGAATACCTAAGAGTTATAGAATACTTTGAAGACCTTAAAGGAAAGAATAGCTAACCATCTGTTCTAGACCATTCCCTTCACCAAAGGGAAGGGCTTGGATTAGATGATTCTATGGGGGCCCTCCCTAGCATTGTTTTTCCTTTTGTCTATAACTCTGATCTCAAAATCTGTTTGGGTACCATTCATTAAACTACTTTAAAGATAATTTAAATTAGTTTATTGCCAATGAATTTATTTAAAACATAATACTCCACGTGACCGTAAGAGGTTAGAAAATAAAACTATTGGTTGTGGCGATGGTATGATTAGTTTCTACTTTGAATCGGGAAAACAGTGGACTGCTGAGAAAGTGTCAGCTTGGAACTTGGGAAACACTAAGTGAAGCAGAGTGATATACGTAATCTGAAATGTCATCGCCAGCATTAGCAAAAGCTAAGAAAGTTATAAGATGGGGTCCACAATGAAGTCTGGATCCCAAGGGAAAATAAGAACTTATCTTAACTTCTCTAGATTTGGACAAACTCAGGATCTCTACAGGGCAACAAGTTACTAGTCATGAAATCAAATGTATTCTGAGAAATCAGAATAATACTCATATGAAGCCACCTACTAAAACCTGTTTTCCTAATAGAGTATCATTTGTCAACATCGAATTACATTGTTAAATGTTACAAAGATGATAAGACCAACAATTGGATGAGTTGTTATATGTAATGTCCTTAGGTGAAAAAAAAAAAAAAAAAGGTAGAAACTGTCATCACTGCTAATCAGCCAAGTACCTGAAAGCGAACCCGATAGGGTAAGGAGCAAAACTTCTGGCACGTGACTCCGGCTGCCTGAATGGCCTCACTTCACAGGCTATCTCAGCCCACGTAACCTAGAGTGATCAGCAGCCAGCTAGAGATGTACAGATGTCTTCATTTACCCAGCACTCTACTGCTAACCTGACATTCAGAACTGGTGACATGCCATGCGATTATTAATTAAACTAAGAGATGGTACTTTTTACGTTAAAATAAGGATGTTTTGCCATAGCCTCAGTGTGGCTTCGTATCCTGACACAGCATATTTTCTTTAAGAGGTATTATCTCTTTGTCTTGTTTATGAAGTAAGTATTATTAGGAAAAATGTAAAGCCATACGACAGTAGATAGTTGTGTGTTCATCAGGATCCTCCACTGTCAGAAATAAGATGAGTCGATTAGTTACTTTTTAGAAAAATGTTCTTAAAACGGAATGTCCTAGTGTGTGTTCAAATCTGCCTGAATGCTTTCTCATGTAAGCCTCACAGCAACTTTATTAGAGAGGAATCATAACATCAGAGAATTTAGGTAACTGGCGTGCTGGCCACAGCCAGTAATAATGGAGGTTTGGACTCTCCTGCCTGAATCCAAAGCTCTTGCTCTTCCTCCTGTAGTGCAGAGAGGCGATGTGTGGGACTTTGGAGAAGGAGACCACGCTTCCTGACTCAGCGCCAGCCAGAGTTGTGTGTCTGAAGGGACCCTTTTGTCACCACCCATTTATCCTGTTTTTGTGCTTTTCCATTTCTCGAGAACATATGAACTAATGTTTACTAAGTTATTGGAGGTCTTTGGAGTCAAAAAAAATTAAAGGAAAAGCTTTTGTCCCCCCTTTCATTATTGTTGCGCTTCCTAGTAAAGGAACTTGACCTGTGAGTAAATCAAGCATATCTACGGTGAGTTTCAATTCTCATGCAAATTCTCCTCTGAAATTGTTTTACAAAATAGATTATTCTGTTAAACTATTTTTGAGAAGTAAGGAGTTCTTCTGTAGGAAACACTACTCTTTTTTTTAAGGCAATGAAAGGAATTAGCTTAATGACAATTGATGCTGTTTTTAAAGAGCTGAATGGTAATTATAGGGACATGTTAGGTAGTTCACTGACTGATATGTCTTTAGCAATTCTTTTTACAGTCATACGTAAAAGGTAAAATCAGGCCCATGCCATAACTTTTATAATCGTGTGCCTTGTCATTTTTCTCCTCCTTCATCATTGAGAATGTATACCTCAGCATTAGGTATTCTTACATGGATATTTCAGAGGCACTTAACTTTCATCACAAAAGTTTGAATGCAACAGTTTTCTAGATACAATGGTGACAGCGTCCGCTTCCCTGCAATCTTTTTCTTGTATTTGCTCATTCCCTTTCAGAGAAAGCCGTGTATACCTTTGGGCTGGGACAGTTTGGTCAGCTGGGTCTTGGTACCTTTCGTTTTGAAACTTCGGTACCCAAAGTCATTGAGCATATTAAGGATCAGAAAATAAGTTCTATTTCCTGTGGAGAAAATCACACAGCTCTGATAACAGGTACAGATGAGAATTTCTGTTACATATTTCTAGAACGGGGTATGTTTTACTACAAAATAAAAACTGTTGGAACGAATGTATCTAATGTAAGCAAAGGAATCAATAATTGAGAAAATGGGAGTTCTTGTTTAATATGCCAAAGTTGCCAAAGTGTAAAGTTGTAAACTCTTTTTTAACATTTCAGTTCAATTTCAAATCAGTGTAAATGATCCAAAGATTTAGAACCTCAAAACAAGTCAGTGCTGTCAGAGGTAATATCATAGTATTATACTTTGGCAGAAAGCTGGAATCTGTTTGAAATTGCATCAGTTTGAAGACTCTTAACTCTGCTCAGGCCAGAGGGAAAAGTCTTACAGGAAAGAACTTTAAAACGTTCTCCATGTTCAGTGTGACACAGCTACATACAGGCTGAGTAGATTCCTATGACGCTTTTGCCGCTAGGAGGCGTTTCCAGGAGTGACTGCTACTTTCTCCACAGTGATAGAAACACACCTCAAAGGCCACTAGGTGGATACCTGGCTCCTCTAGACCTTTTGCTCTGTACTTTCTCCTTTACCCAGGGAGATACTGCTTTGGGCCTGCTTCTCAACCTCAAAAACTAGGTGCTGCTAATATGGACCCAATAAAGATTCTCCCCTAGAAATAACTCACTTACCTGTAGGTAATTGATATACTCCACAACTGTAATTGCTTTGGAACAAAAGCCCCTGTAATTTCACTATTTCTAGCCCACATTTCAATCTAAAAATGAAATTAAGCATTAAAAAGGCAGAAATCATACAGTATTTTGCAATAAGCCAGATACTGGTATTTCTACATTTGTTTCCTTCTTTCTAAAAAAGCTACTGCTAAATGGAGCTCATCTAATGGTATCTAGTTGGGGCAACTAGTAATCCGCAAATACAATGTATACTACCGTATACTGTTCCTTCTTCCCCAAAGAGCCTTTCAGAGAGAACTACCTGCCCATTTTCAAGTGTCAATGTCTTTGTTAATGTAGTGTGAAATAAAACTATATAGAATGTAAAGAATTATTATTCACTCATAGTCCCAGAAGAGTTGTTGATATGTATCCCTTACTGCAGGGTCCTAATGTCAATTTCGCTGTCCTTACTGCTCTTTTTCATCAACCCTAAATTGCCATTGATGGGAAACACGTACTTTTTATGGATCATCTAACACACAATTAGATTATTTGGTTAAACTTTCATACTACCTTTCCCCCTGATGAAAGAAGTTACAGCACTAATAATTGACCATTAACTTTGTTTGCTTTTTGCTCATAAAGCTTCGTCAGGGGACAGGTGTTATGAATTTTTTTCTTTCAGGACTAACAAGAGGTGTGTAGTGAGTTATTCTGTAAGTTCTTACCAGTTCCCCATTATGTAGCCAGTGGCTCATGGTTTAAAAAAGCTTTCAAGTTCGAAGTACAATCAGGTAGCTTGGATCAGAGTTTATCTTTTCTGGCTAAAGATAATCAAGTTAAAACACAAAGCCTAAAAAGCACTTTGGGTAAAAAAAAATCAAGGGTCAAAAGAAGAGGAAAAGGGAAAAGGATGATAAAGGAGTATATGTAAAGAAAGGAAATAGGTAGCTAATAGTAAGAAATTTAATAAGAGTCTAAATTTGGGGTTTAAATACTGGTTATTGCTTATTAATAGGGCATTTATTTTCTGTATTTTTTTTAATATTTATTTATTTGAGAAAGAGAGTGATCGAGGGAGAGAGAGAGCAAGCACACAAGCAGGAGGGGCAAAAGGAGAGGGAGAAAAAATCTGAAGCATACTCCATGCGCTGAGCACAGAGCCCGACTCAGGGCTTAATCTCATGACCCTGAGATCACAACCTGAGCTGAAACCAAGAGTCAGAGCTTAACTGGCTGTGCCACCTAGTCGCCCCTCTGTATTAACTTTTGAAAATTTTACTGAATTATATTATTTTTTCTCCTCATTTTTCCTTCGGTTCTCTTGGATTTTCTTAGTATGAGATTACTTTGCCATCTTAAACTAGAAGTTCCCTTAGAAATGATCTTATCATTTCCTGGCTTAAAACCATTCATTCAATTTATTGCCATTAAGATAGAGTTCAGAAATTCTTAATATGAACCAACAGGGTCCTCTGTAGTGTGGTTCCTTCCTACCTCTTCAGACTCAACTCATACCACTGGCCCCTTTGTGCTCCAGGCACATCGGTTGCCTTTCAGTTTCTTGACTGTGTTGTTTTCTCTTGATTCAAAGCCTTCATATGTGTTTTCTTGCAGCTAATACCCTAATCATCCTTCAGGTCTGTTTGAAAGCCTTCCTTAATCCCCAGACTAGAAGGAAACCCCCCTCTTCTGCCCCCATCCTGGCCCCCTTTCCTTTCCTTCTGCTTCCATGGCACTTTCCACCACTTGAGAGAGAGGGTGTTAAGGAGGGCTTGAGAAGAGGAGTGAAGGTTCAGAATAGCTGCTCTGGCAGTGGGCAAAAGGGTTAACTGGAGAGAAACAGCAAGACTGCTTATCATTATCGTGAGCCATAGAGGGGCCCTCGCCATTGCTATAGGGACTAGTCAGCATGGTTGGTTTATGGCACTTCCCTCAGCAGCGTTCCACAGCCCAGGAGCTGAATCAGTAAAAGAGACAGTTGGATTGATCTAAGCTGGTAGTTTTCCACCAGCGGCCATTTTGTCACCCAGGGACACACGACAGTGTCTGCATACATTTTTGATCGTCCCAGCTACAGAGGCAGGGTGTTTTATGGACATTTAGTAGAAGCCAAGGATGCTGCTAAACATCTTACGGTGCACCAGACAGTCCCACACAACCGAGAATTATCTAGCACCAAATGTCAGGAGTGCCAAGGTTGAGAAACCTGAGGGGGAAAAAATAGATTGTATTGGAACATAGGGGGTCAGAATACAGAAAGAAGTCCCCTTCCCCTTGAGAAGATGGTGTGTATGAAGAGATGGCTCATGCTGGGTTGCTGCTATTCCACACAGTGCCTCACATGACTGGGCTTCAAGTTCACAAACCACCGATGGCTTAGTGATTTATTCTCACAGTGTCTGTTGCCTAATGTTACATGCAGGACCACAGAGACCACAGAGAGTGTGGAAGTATCACTGGATCAGAGTAAACTCAGTGCAGCATTTGAGGGGGAAATGGTAATTGCAATATAAGTAAATATATTTGCCTACTTACAAATAGATGCATACAAGTAAGGCTTCTATAAATCTCTCTCTTTTTTTGCATTTTAGATATAGGTCTCATGTATACTTTTGGAGATGGCCGACATGGAAAATTAGGACTTGGACTGGAGAATTTTACCAATCAGTTCATTCCCACTTTGTGCTCTAATTTTTTGAGGTTTATAGTTCAACTGGTAAGGACATCACATTTCCCTGTTTACATTTTCATATTCCTATATATTTGAGTCTTGCAGTATTTCATAGAAAATAGATACTTTTATGTTTGTTGAAAGAATATCATGGCTATATCTAATCAGTATACTCATTTCCTAAAAGTCAAATGTCAGACATCATGCCACTCAGAAAATCTGTCCCTTTCCTGATTCTCCTCCTTTGAGCATCGTCCTGAGTTCTCACCCTAATCTTGACTCTCCTGCTTTGTTCCCCTGTGTCTCTTGAGAACCAGAACTGTGCCATGCCTGGAAGCTTGGTTGTCTGCTCCAGCAACCAGCAGAGTGTCTGACACAATCACCTATAAATAAAGACTTATTTAAAATAATAATAATTTCACAATATTATGAAAGAAATGTTCAGAGTATGCTATTCTTATAACCACCCTGTAGAACACTATAAAGTTGCTAAAAAAATCTGTGTATTACAAATACTACACAATGGTTTTTTAGGCATTTTATTGAAAATCAGTTCTTTCTCAAAATCCTTTGAACGTTGGTTTCATTTTTCCTTGTTCCACCATAGTGCATGCTTACATTTTGCTCTAAGGACTTTTAAGCATTGAACTTCAGAAGTGTTCATGTAAAGAAAAAGGTTTGGAGACATAATTATCCCAAGAGACTGATTTCTTCTTGGATCACTTTTTTCCAAGTAGAACTTCTCTGGGTAATTTTTTTTAAGGTGTTTGTGTTACTCTCAGATTAAAATAACATTTTCTGACTTTGAGGAGGAACATAATGTGCCAGATAAATTGGAAGTAAAATGGTGTGTTAAACTTGTTCTAATTTTCAATTGTAGTGTTTAAAGAAGACATATTATAATTCGTGTGTGTGTGTGTGTGTGTATCTGGGAGGAGGGGAGACACACACTGACTACCTAGGAAGTCTACCATTAAGTAAATATTTTGTAGCTGAAAACTGTTAAAAACCCATTTGTGTTTGAAATCAATGTTGATTAATCAATATGTGGTTTTTTGCTGCAGGTGGCTTGTGGTGGGTGCCACATGCTTGTTTTTGCCATTCCACGACTTGGTGGGACAGAAGAAATGGAGTTAGAAGAAATAAATGATTCTTACTTCCCTGCAGCACCTTCTCTGCCCCTCAGCGATCTGAGCTCAGGAAATGTACTGAACAGAACTCTGTCAGCACGTGTGCGGCGAAGAGAGAGGGTATAGAGTTGGGGCCAGTTCTGTATCATGGCACTACAAAGAGAATGGGAAAAAAATGCATTTTCTTTTTAAATCAAAGAAGGGTCTTTTAAGATAGATTTACTAAGTAAAATGGTTAGAGGTGCAGGCTTACAAGCTTAAAGCAAATTCAGAGTTAAGCTGTTAAACACACAAATGAGAAAATTCAAATAATCATGGATAACCTTGACTTAATAGAGAGTGGATACAAAGCAAAGATACAGAGCATCCTTTTAGAGGCCTATCTTCGCACTTCAGCTTGAATGCTGAATTATTTTCTCAATTCCATATGGATTGACTTACTTTGCTTTTTATCTTTTAGTTACACCTCATGAGCCGTGGAAGGTTATACACTATAAACAATGAAATGTGGGAAACAGAGAAATAAGGACTTCAGTTCGAGATAGGGAATGTTCTTTCTCGTTTAAATTTAAAGGTTCTCATTCTGCTTTAAAATTATTTCAATGACACTTGTATTTAAAAAAAAAAAAAAACAGAAAATGCCAAATAATTTTTAAAGGAGATGTTCCTTTTTTAAAGAGTTGCTTTAAGTTCCAAAACATTCCCTTTGAAGTAAAAAGGTTAAGTTTGGCTTTTTGTTATGAAAAAGTAATATATGGAAAGACTGAGAAATAGCAGTATTTTGTAGTTATTGTTTGTTTAGGTCTCGTGACTAATTTTTTGTTTCCTAAGGAAAGCAGAGAGAATACACATATACTTTTCCCCATCGTGTGAAAAACAGGCTTCTAATTTAACAATTTAGAGCAACTTAGATGCAGAGATAACAAAACAAAACATTTTTGAGTCCTTGGGGATAATTTAAAAATGAATGTGGGACAGTGGGCAACTTTGAAGTCTCTCTCTTAAATATTTTTAGCAACTGGGGGGTAGTTTCTGTCAATACTAAACATATAACATCATCTAATAGTTTATTTAACCTGTTTATTTTAAAGGAGAAATCACCCGATTCTTTTCAAATGACACAAACTCTACCTCCAATTGAAGGAACTTCTGTGCCACCAGTTTGCTTTTCCCCCAGGCCAGTTCCTTTCTATATGTCTGCAAGTAAGTGGCCAGGGAAAATGATACTTGAAAAGGAGGACCCCATGCTGCCAGTGGAACCAGGTAACAGCTGATAACTCTGCCTGCTCACAGGAAAAGTGTACTTTTTATTCCTATTGGTGTCATGTTTATCTTAGGATGTTCTTGCCAATTAACTTGTTTTCTTCCTAGTTGGAGGCTAACATCTCTCGTTTGAGTGCCAGTCCGGGAATACTCTTACAAATACAAAGCCTCACCAGTGACCCTAAAAATCCCATGTAACAATAGCAGCATATTTGTATAGAGCAAATGTATAACATACGTGGTACCTTCTCTTATGTTACCTCCTTTAAACCCTGAAGCAGCTCCATGAAATAGGTGGGAGTTCTAAACTCTTCATTTGGATAGATGAGAAAAGCAAGGCTTGAAGAGACTGACTTGGCCAAGGTTACTCAACTTATAAATGAAGAGAGCCGGAGTTGAATGTGAATCTTCTGGACCTATGTGAAGTCTTGCATTTAGGCAGTATACCAGAGTGGTCAAGAACATGGGGTATCGGGGCGCCTGGGTGGCTCAGTTGGTTAAGCGTCTAACTCTTGATTTCGGCTCAGGTCATGATCTCAGGGTTGTGGGATCAAGCCCCGTCCAGCGTGGAGCCCTCTTAAGGTTCTCTCTCCCCCTCTCCCTCTCCCCTCCCCGCCCTTGCATGCATGTTCTCTCTCTCTCAAGAAAAAGAAAAGAAAAAAAAAAAGAGCATAGGGTATGGAGTTAGACTGATCTGGGGTCAGATGCCAGCTCTGACATTTATTAACTGTGTGCCTTACTTTGGGGAAGTTACTTAATTTCTCTAACCCTCAGTTTTCCTATCTTTGAAATGAGTTTAATAATACTTCTTTAGAGTGATTGAGATTAAATGAGATAGGGTATATAAAATACTTAGCACTGAGCCTAGCACCTCTAGGAAGCTCTTTATAAGTTATAGTCATGGTTATTATTAACACTTCTACCTCACTGCTTTTTAGATACACATTATATTTTAAATTGTAATCCCAGCTCTTTGGTTATTATACACCTCTTTTTTTAAAAAAAAGATTTTTATTTATTTATTTGACAGAGAGAAAGTGATAGAGGGAACACAAGCAGGGGGAGTGGGAGAGGGAGAAACAGGCTTCCCGCGGAGCAGGGAACCCGATGCGGGGCTCGATCCCAGGACCCTGGGATCATGACTGGAGCTGAAGGCAGATGCTTAACGACTCAGCCACCCAGGCACCCCTATTATACACCTCTTGTAAATAATTTTGTTTATAGGCATTTGTGTATCTTGAGTGTGTATATGTTACCAAAGGGCATATGCTTGAATAGTAGGGGCAGGGCAAGAAGCCAGGATCAAGAGATCAGAGTAAACAGTAGGTTTGGAATTAAGATGATTTGGGCACCTGGGATTAAGAACCACAGCACAGATAATTTTTAGTTATCTTTGGGATTAAGAACCTAGGCAAAAGTTGAGGTAGTAAAAGCAAGAATTGTGGGCCATGGGAATAGAGTATTATCTACAACTAGGACCTTGATCATTAGCAAGTTTCTTAAACTGTATTTTTTCCAAAGGTTTATTTTACTTGTTTTAGAGAGAGAGAGAGAGAGAGCATGCATGTGGGGGGAGGGGCAGAGGGAGAGGATCTCAAGCATGCTCCATGCTGAGCTCAGAGCGCAGTCTCAGGACCCTGAGATCATGACCTGAGCCAAAATCGAGAGTCAGACACTTAACTGACTGAGCTACCCAGGTGCCCCTGATAATGAGCCAGTTTCTCGCATCTCACACAGAACTTTTGTATGCTTCATTTTGAGATAAGCATTACTGACACCCTTCAGGCCTGTACATGGAAAAAGTGGAGTCTGACAACAGTGTATACAAGGAAAAGAGAAGTTTATGGTTTGGGGGAAGTTGTTTCCCACTTCAAGAGATTTGAATGTGAACATATACAGAGTTTGGTAGCTAGAGCCAAAGGAAAAGCTATTCCTTATCTTTTTGTGACTGTTTGCTAAAACTGTCTTAAAAGTATTCTGAAAGTTATATCTAACATATAACACTTTTTCTAAATTATTTGCAGACTTCAGTGTTTATCATGGAGGGAGGAAGGTCAGGGAAGACCTTGCTGAGAAGGTGACGTTTAAGCTAAAATATAAAGGATAAGAAAGACAGCCACATGAAGAGAGAGGTTATGTGCATTCTAGGCAAACAAAATCATATAGGCAAAGACTTGGAGGCAGTTTATAAGAAAAGGAAAGAAGACTGTTGGAGCTAGAGAATGCGGGAAAAGGCTAGACAAGATGTTGGAGAAAAGAGTGAAAAAGTATTTGTGATTTTATAGGCTGTGAGAAGCCTATTTGATTTGAGTGCTTTTCTTAAGTGCAATAGAAAGTCATTAAAGGGTTTCAATCAGTGGAGTGATGTGCTCCAATCCAATTTACATTTTAAGATGTTCACTTTTGCCTCTGTGTGGACCGTAGGCAGGAAAGACCAAAGGCAGGACGAATACTTAAGAGCCCTTTGCAAAAGGTTATGGTGTATGGTCCAGGATGTTTGCTGTGGAGCTGGAGAGAAGGGGGCAGACTGGGAGTGCATTTGAGACCTAGAACTAACTGAATTTACACAGAGAGAATCAAGGATGATTCTTAGACAAGAGGATGGTTGACAAGCTTGAGGGGAAAAAAAAATCGAGCTTGAGATACCTGCAGGACATCCAAGCAGAAATATGGAGCAGGCAGTTGAATATGCAAGCCTAAAGTTCGAAAGGGAGGTCTGAACTAGGGAGATACATTTGGAACCCAGCAACACAGAGTTGGTATTTACAATCCATGGGACTTGGTGAAATCACCTGTTAGATAACAGAGTAGCAAGACAAGAGAGCCAGGAGTCAGGCTGAAGAACATCTAACATTTAGAGGGTAACGGAGAAAGAGCCAGCAAAGAAATTTTCCTCAGCCCCCATCAGCTAGTAGGGTAAGAGGAGGGGAATCAGGAGAGAGTAGGGTCATGAATTCAAAGTACTGCTCATAGGCCAAGGAGAAAGCTCAAAGAAGCATCCCATGGATTTGGCATCGTGGAGAGTACCTGTGATTTGACAAGAGTAGCTTCAGGGGAAGATAAGAGCAGAAGCCAGAGGGCTAAGAGTTGAGGCATGAATGGGAAATGAGGAAGTGAAAAGGAGATAGGGTGTGTAGAGAATTCTTTTGCATATTTTGGTCAGGAAGAGGAGCAGAGAAAAGGGCTGGCAACTAGAGGAGATGCGGGGTCAATGGGAAATAGTAGAGCATTTTTGTATGCTAATGGACATGGAGAGATGGGGCTGGCCTACAGAGCAGTCTTTGCTAAAAGGAAAGACGCATCCTGTATTTCAACAGGAAAATGGAGGTAAATGTGTACATTTGTTGGGGGGAAAGATAAGGCAGATCAGGTCTGATGACTTTTTTTCTCAGTCAAGTGTAAGGCAAGGCCGTGAGCTTCAATGATTTCTATATTTTCCAAACCTCCATTCTCTGCCTTCTCCAGTCTATCCCATTAAGCACTTTCTACATCAGTCTTCCTCAGGCACAGCTTTAGTTCCCATCTGCTCCAGGGGCTTCTGAGAATCCCTAATATTTGTGAAAATAAGTGTAAGTTACCCCATGGAACTCCCACCTGCTTTTGTAGCTTCATCTCTCAGTACTCTTTTTCTTATAACCTTAATGTAGGTCACAGGTCTGTAAAGTACGGCTCATGAGCCACATCCCGCCAGCCACTTGTTTTTGTAAATAAAGTTTTATTGGAATCCAGTCACGCCATTCCTTTATGTATTACCTATGGCTGCTTTGACATGACAGCGGCAGAGTTTGAGTCGTTAGGATGGAGACTGTATATGGCCACAAAGCCTAAAATGTTTACTAGATGGCCTTTTACAGAGAAAGTTTCCCAACTCTTAATTTTGATCAAACTGAGCTCTTCACAGTCAGACTTAGTGGAGAAGGCTGTGAAGTCAAGACAGACCTGAGACCGACACTTGGCACTTCATTTATTCATTTGTGAAGTGGGGATACGCTGCTTACCTCTCTTGTTGTCATGGAGGTAACTCGACACGTGTGAAAGCATGTGTTCCCAGCACATGGTCAGCCTTCAGTAGAAGCCATTCTGCTGCTTCTGTTAGCACTGGGCCTCAGTTTCTTCTCCGTCCACCTCCACCGCTGCATCTCAGAATTCTACTCACTCTTCCCCGCACCTCTTTAGTGAAACATTTCCTGATTCCCGACATTCGGGTGTGATTTCTCATGCCAGTATATCCTATATTTTATATTCCCTTTAGATGATAAGTTCACTAAGAATGAGCCGTTAATTAAGTTGATTATCTTGCATGTAGCACTTCACATGAAATAAACACAAACTGATTATTTGCTCCTTTGAATTGAATGAATTTATAAGGCCGAGATCAGTGGGGACTAGCATTTTTAGCAAAGACTTCGTTCAGGAGCTCCTCTCAAATAAATATGTGGGTGCTAAGTGGGGGTGTAGTAATTGAGAAAAATGTAACATCAAGTAGAGCTCGTAAGTTTTAGTTACCTGCTCGATGACATAATAACCTGGCAGTTTTCCATGAAAGTTTCTAGGTGCTTGTACTAGTTATCTGATTTTTCACATAACAAGTGGCCTTAAAACTCATCTCACAGAGTTTGTGAGGGTCAAGAATCCAGGAGCAGCCTAGCTGAGGGGTTCTGGCTCAGAGTGTTTCATGCAGTTGCAATCATGCTTCAGATGGGGCTGTAGTCACCTGAAGGCTCCACTGGGGCTGAAGGATGCTCTTCCATACTCACTCGAGTGGCCATTGGCAGGAGGTTTTACTTCCTCAGTGCGTGGACTTCTCCCTAGGAATGGTCCTAGCATGGCTTCCCCCGGAGAAAGTGATGCAAGAAAGACAGAGTGGGGGGACCGAGATAGAAGCTGCAATAACATCACAATTATGGCTGCTTTGTTTTGTTGGCCATATGGAACTACCTGGTAAAATGTGGAAGGGAACGACACAAGGGGACCCATATCAGGAGGATGTGGGTCACTGGGACCCTTTTTGGGGACTCACTGTTACAGTGCTTGATACCTAGGTAGTAGTTCTCCCAAAGGTATAGTGTTTGCCTGTTCATATGAAGGAAGCAGTTGCTATCTCATCAGCATGGAAGTCTTTGAACTTTCAGAAATAGACTTTAAAACCTCTTATCACTATGAATGAATTCTGTTCAATTCCCCTAACATGAGGTTAAAGGACTTTAGTAAAATTATGCCTGCACTTTATATTACAGAATAATTTATTGTCCAGTTGTCTTTCAGTTTTCCATTGAAAGCTGGTTTTCTCTTTTCCCTTTTAATCAGATTATTTCCAGGATAAAATGGCCAAAGGGAAAGAGGAAGACAATTCTTCAGCAACAGATTCAGAGAGCCTTGGAGAAACTACTGATGTCTTAAATATGGTAATGGTTTTCTTATTTATCTGTATAGATATGTTTGGATTTCAGTTCATCATGTATTTGTATATGTGTACATTCTGTGCTGTTCCTTGCATTATAAAAGGTTTTGGTTTCATTTTGTTTGTTATTTTTATATGTTATATGTTTATTATTTTATTGAAGTATAGATTATATATAATACAATTAATTTTGATCCTCATATCATTAGTATGCAGTTGAGAGTAGATTATATTACTGTCTGAACTGTTTTGTTCACTTTATATATAAGAATGTATAAATATATAATCTTATATATAGTCTTTATTCTTTTTAGAACATATACTTTTTATTTATTGCAGACACATATGATGAGCCTGAATTCCAATGAGAAGTCATTAAAATTATCACCAATTCAAAAACAAAAGGTATAACATAGAGAGTTATTTTCATTATGGTGGGTAAGAACAGTTTATATTTTTTCTTGAAAGTTTTCTGGAAAGAATACATGAAAGATAAGTCTTCATTTACTTTAGATTTTAAAAGAGGATTACATTGTAGGTAGCCTCAACTTGGGTTTGTTCTGTTGGTATATATTTTGGATATATGACAGGATTTCATTGCTGAAATTTGCTTTTTGGTGTCACTAACAAGTCATAGTAGCCACATTTTCTTATCATCAAAGCAAAGGATTATTATGGCAGTTCATAAGTATTAGAAGAGGCTACTGTTGATCAGAATGGTTCTCGGACTTGGGTTGAGCATGACTTTGGTTGAGTTACCGTGTTGTTCTCAAATGTGATATTAACATCTTTTCTAGCTCTAAAATTTGGTGGTTTTAGTGAAAACATTTGATAATTGCTTTTCCAGTGTGTGGAATGGGCTTTAATCTATCACAGAATTGATAGCCTAAGAACAAAATTAAACATTTGGAAATTAATCAGAAACCATGCATGGGTGATAAAGAGAGACTTTTAATGAATGACCAGTGAATAGGAAGAGGAAGGAATAGTTGGTGGTTTTCACAACCCTGGAGAGGTAAAGGCCTGCCCTGAAATCCTTTGCTTCTGACTTTACGGACCAGACTTTACGGGATGAAAGGAAGGTGGGGTTTGGGGATTAGAAAAGTAAGTTGAAGAAATATGAATTGAAGGAAGAAGGCTTCTAGACAATATTTAATTTCTATTTCCAGTGCCTTTGCCATGTTATTAAGCTAAAAATCCTTAAAGTCAAAGTCACCGAAATGCAAGAGAATCTTGCTGAATTATAAAAATTTAGTGCCAGTCTTTGTTAGTCTTACCTCTGTTTTACTGAGAGGCATGGTAACAGCATTCCTTTTGAATATGGGAGAACTGTTGTCCTAGCCCAGTGTGGAAGCTCAGCAAAGGTTGACTGACTTTATTGACTGACTACACTTCCAGGCAGACATCTTTCCTGTGTCTCTCTTTCCTCTTCTCTTAGACCCAGGGCTCTGCCTCTTCTGAGCTATTTGATTGTGCTAGGGAAATAAAGAGACATACATTTAAAAATCATTTCTGGCAACTGGGCCTCTCTGCCTCTCTTTAGGGCTCTTGAAAGAATTGTGACTTTTTAAAGAATAGGACCTAGAACAAACAGAAGGAAAGCACTTCCTTTTATTTATTTATTTTTTTTTTTTGGTATTTATTCTCTTCTATTCAGCACTTCCCTTCAATTAGCAATAATCGCGCTTCGGATAAACCTCATTGGCTACGATACTGCCACTGCGCAAAGCTCAGCACTTCCTTTTAAACTGATATATATTTTATACTTCACGTAGTCCTTTTAAGTAGAGGCCCAACCAGACTTATTTTAGTGAATGAAAAAAAGATTTATTATAATATTTCCATATATTGATGTTTAACTTGTGCTGTTTTAATTTTTGGTGTTTTTGGCAAAAAAATGACCTCTTCCTAAGCCTAGCAGTCACGACAATTTGTAACACTTGATTTATTGAGGTTTTACTCTCCAGAGATGCAAATTCATCAAATATTTCAATTCATTAGCTTACAGAATTTAGGTCAACAATTTGATTTTTGTTTTATTTTGTCTAGCAAGAAATGAATTTCATATTCTTAGTGTATCATTCAAATTGCAGTGTTTAATTTCATAGTTTTTATAAAAATCTTAACATTTTACCCTAGATATTTTTCCACATAGTGGTTAGTTTCATGTATGCAAGTTATGATAATTAAAGAATATAATAGATAAAAGGAAGAGGGTCAATAATTTGAAAAGAAACATATTATTTAGTATGCTGATAAAAAGATTTCATTTGTAGTTTTCATTTCAGATTTTTCTTGTAGAAGTAAGCTATTCATTTTTTCCAATATTTAACATTTTCATATTTTCTTTAATTCTGTGAATTTCATGGAATTAAAAGACCAATCAAAATTTGACAATTAAAATAACAGGGAAGGTAGGAAAAGAAACTGAACCCAACTGCATGCAAGAGAAGTGTGTACATTTTTTTTACCAGTATTTTGCACAGTCTGGAAAGGTATTCTATTTAAGACTTGATTCAGATTAAGAAAAGGGGTAGAGAAGACATACTGATGGTCCTGTGTGAGTAGTGGCATCCTGAGAGCAGGCAGTGAGCATGCAGACATGTGTGCCACAGCAGAATCCAAGGTGCTGCAGACTCAGAGAGTGGCAGAAGTTATCTCCAGTGAAAGCCAAATCTGAGCAAAATGTCTGGTAAAACTGGACATTTTTATTCTGCTAGCGAAACTTAGAGTAATGCAAAATCTTGGCAGTGTTTTGTAGTAGATGATAAGTTACCTTTGTCAACTAATGGTAGTTTGACGATTACTTCAAAAATTTACAGAAACAAGAAACAATTGAGAAACTGAAGCAGCGTACAGCTCACTCTGGACATGATGATAGTAAAGGATTTGCAAGTGACGAGATGTCTAAAACAGTGAAAGAGGGGAAAGCCTATAAACAACTTTTGGCCAAAGGAATGTACATGATGCAAGCAGCTATGACTATGGAAGCATTTTCAGATGAGGACGTAGGTAATGACTCGGGCCAGCCTGGGTCTCGGGCTGACACCCGTGCAGAGGGTGTGCAAAGAGAGCTATTTAGACGTGAAAGTAAGCACTGTATTTATCCACCTGACAGTAAGGCAATAGCAAAGGCAAGTGATGGAGGCCAAAGACAGAAGGATCCAGACGCAAAAGAAACAGTCTCTGAAAAGGAAACTGAGCTGGCGGAAATGGCAGATCTGAAGGCTAGGAGACAAAGCGAAGAGAATTTAAGAAATATTGATATGTTCTTTGACTTACCAAATAGAGACATGAATATTGAGGATGAAGACAGTAACGATTTTGTTAAGGACAGTAAGAGGAATAAGCGAGATGTGATTTTTGACAGCGAAAGAGAATCTATAGAGGAGACAGACAGTTACTTGGAAGGCAAAAGCGCAAGTCAGCAAGGTACCACTGACAGCTTCGAGCAGCCCGAGTCAGTAGAATTTAGTAGTGGAGAGAATGAGGATGACGAAGTGGAAACCGAGCAAAACTTGTGGTATAGCAGAAAATTTCTCGAACAAGTACTTGAGGAAGAGGTTGAACACAAAATGTCCAGATTCATGGCAAGATATGATTTTAAGTGTGACCACTTGTCAGAGATCCCCGAAGAGCAGGAAGGAGCAGAGGATGCAGAAGGAAGTGGAATAGAGGAGCAAGAGGTAGAGGCAAGTGAGGAAAATGTGAAGGTGCCAGCAAGAAAACAGGAGGAGGAAATAGACATCCTGCCAGACGTCCTGACAGACAGAGCAGAGGTGAGTGAAGGCAAGGGAAAGGCAGGAGGTGGAGGTGAGGGAATCCAGTGGGAGGGAAATTCAGGAGTGGAACAGAGGCAAAGTGAGGAGGAAGAAGAGGAGGAAGACAAGGGAGGAGGAGAAATAGAGGGCCTGGGTAAGGGAGAGAAAGACCTAGAAGAGGAGGAGGGCCAGGAGCAAAGGGAGGGGGAACGAGGCCATCAGGAAGAAAGAAACAAAGGGATGGAGGAAGGAGAAGGGGAGGAGAAAAGAGATGAGAAGGAAGGGGAGGGGGGGAGAGGAGGGGAAGAAGACAGGGAAGAGGAGGAGGAAGAAGGCAAGGAGGAGGGAGAAAGGAAAGAGGAAGAAGGACAAGAGGAAGGACAGGGAGAGGGGAGAGAAGAAGAGGAAGGAGAGGGGGAAGCGGAGGAGGAAGGAGAGGAAGAAGAAGAGGGGGAAGGGGAGGAAGGAGAGGGGGAAATGGAGGAGGAAAGAGAGGGGGAAGGGACGAAAAGAGGTGAAGGGGAGGAGGAAGGAGAGGGAGAAGGGGAGGAAGGAGAGGGGGAAGTGGAGGAGGAAGGAGAGGGAGAAGGGGAGGAAGGAGAGGGAGAAGGGGAGGAAGGAGAGGGGGAAGAGGAAGGAGAGGGAGAAGAGGAGGAAGAGGAAGGAGAGGGAGAGGGGGAAGTGGAGGAGGAAGGAGAGGGGGAAGGGAAGAAAAGAGAAGATGAAGGGGAGGAGGAGGGAGAGGGAGAAGCAGAGAAAGGAGAGGAGGAAGCAGAGGAGGAAGGAGATGGGGAAGGGAATGAAGGAGAAAGTGAAGGAGAGGGGGAAGGAGAGGGAGAAGAAGAAGAAGGAGAAGCGGGGGAAGCAGGGGAGGAGGAAGAAGAGGGGGAACCAGGGGAGGAGGAAGAAGAGGGGGAAGCAGGGGAGGAAGGAGAGGGGGAGGGAGAAGAGGAAGGAGAGGGAGAAGAGGAGGTAGGGGAGGAAGAGGAAGAAGAGGGGGAGGGGGAAGGAGAGGGGGAGGAGGAGGAAAGAGAGGAGGAGGAGAAAGAAGGGGAGGGGGACCAGGAAGGAGAGGAGGAAGGGGAGGGTGAGGGGGAAGAAGCAGAGTGGGGAGTGAGGGAGAGGGAAGAGGAGGACACTGAGGAAGAAGAGGGGAAATACGAGGAGACAGGAGATGAAGAGAGTGAAAAGCAGGGAAGACCAGGTAAAGGAAAAGGGTCCAACAAAGCAAGCAAAATCAGAGGATCTGTGAAATATGACAAAGATAAGGCATACCCCCCAAAGTTTATTACTAACACAGAGGGCAAAGGGAAAGAGCATGAGGTACAGAGGTTCAAAATGCCAGTGCGGTCAAAAGAACTTTTAGAAAATGGGCCACCAGGTTCCAAAAGATTCTGGAATAATGTATTACCACATTATCTAGAATTGAAGTAACAAACTTTAAATTTGAAAGTTTGTTAAAGTTTTTAAATTTTTAAAAATTTAAATTTTAAATTTAACAAACTTTAAATTTAAAACTGTTGACCAGCCAACAGTTTGAGCATCTTACACGTAATAGGCACTTAATATGTTTTATTAAATTGCTTTTTGTCATGGTTACTTTATGTGTGGTACAATATAGACTGATAAAGACAACACAAAGCACTGGTAAATTTGGCTCCTCTTAAACTAATATTTTGGTATATTTTCCCCCCAAATTATAAATCTGTCACTAGAAAATATCAAAAGGTCATAGCAGATAATTAACATTATATATTCCTCATTAAAGACAGAGTTAGGAAATAGTATACTATAAGAATGTTGCATTTGTATATACAAACTGGTCCCTTTAAAGATGGCACAGATCCTTCAAGGCTATAAAAACATCTCATTTCTTATGAGTTTCTTTGGTCTCTGATTTCAATGTGCCTACTACGTAGAATAATTTTATAAGGTGGATGGTATTGTAAAGCTAAAATGAAGAATTCGCATTTAAAAAAAATAGTGCTCTTTTTTTACCTTTTATGTGTCCTTTTTGCAACAATCTACCAAGTGTCAGCTGGATTCAGAGCTTAGATCTTAATGTGCTGTCTTTTAGTTACTGTCTGGACAAATGGCAGTATATCTCATGAAATGGAGGTGAACCTAAACATATATTCGGGAAGTATGTAAAACTTGTAAGTATTTATTAGCCAGGCAGAGCTCCTCACTGGGGTTCAGTTTCCTCACGTGTAAAATGGAGCGGATTAGATGATAGAACTATAGTCCCTCCTAACTCTCAGATTCTTTTGTTCTAACAGGCTGATTTACTCCCATTGTGTTTGTCATTTGCATAAAAGTTTTTTAAGTTAGAAGAAAAATTGTACTTTAAAATTAATTGAGTTTTCTATAAATTATATATTGTTCTTTACTCTTAAAAACTTAGGAAGAGCTTTAATGTATCTTGTGTTCTGTCATTCTGTATTTCTAAACTATAACTTCTGAGCTTTAACTGTACTATCAGAATCGTCATTCCCAGTGTCTATTATGTACCCTCAGTGTGTTCTTCATTGACTATTCTGTAATTCTGTTTGTTGCTCGTCAGAATGTTTCAAGTAAAATAAAATGTAAATGTATACCATCAGTAATTGTTTGTGGAAAGAGAAACTAACACTAGATACTGAATTTTCGAGAGGCTAGATTTCGATTAGTGTAAATTCAATCTTCCCTTAAAACTTTCAGTATTTTTCATACAGCTAGATCATTTGTTCTTTATTCATAGCTCCCTTTTCAACTGGTTTCCCACCCCAGTCCCTTCCATATCTTGGGCATGAGGGATTTCTTCTACTTTTAGCAAGGAGAATCTGGATGGTAAACTTCCTGTGAATTTTGTGTAGTTGAATCCTGTGCACATTTGATTCTCTGTGAGAAAGAATATGGGGGGAAAGACTAGAATACAAAGAGAAGAAACTCCTAGGAGCAACTGTAGGTTTTGTTTTAGCTGCAGGGATCTCTGGTCGCTTCCCCTAACTAACCAAACACGCGAATTTGGCATTGCAGGGTTCTATCCAATTCTGCCACATTCAGTGACGGTCAGTGAAATGGAATTGGTGCTTTGATCAAGTGTGTGCGCTGTGTTGTTAATGCTAGGGCCCAACATGTTTATTTAAAACGTTGACTTAAAATGATGAACTGAGATGAACGATAGAATGGAGTTCATAAAGGAAAAGGCTTCAGGGAGAAAAGAAACTCTTAACCCTCAAGTTGTTAATGTCAAAGGCGAGACCTCACCAGCCAGCAACACTGAAATGGTGTTCAGAGCATGTGCCCATCTCAGTATTTGAGCTGGCCTAGAGAGCCACTTTCAAACAGCATTTCCCACCCATTTCTTCACATTTCCCTGGCCAACCGAAGTGTTGTATGCTCTTTTTGAAGCAGTAGCTCGGGCAGGCATGGTGTTCTGGTCAAGAGCACGGGCCTCGTCATTTTGAGATGTGAATTAGTACTTGGTAAAACAGATCGGGATAACTGGTTCCTTCTTCATTGTCCCCATCTGCTGGTGGATCGAGCTTTTATTGTAGTTTCTCACTGGTTATTACTGAGGCCAGCGTGAGGGGTGTGTGTGTAGAATCCGTTGAGTTACAGTTTCAAATGAGGACTCTGGCAGAAAAATATTTTCAGGTAAGCTACAAAGGAGTATCACAGAAACATCTGCTGCTGCCAAACCAGTAACTCTTGAGGTGAGTGCAATGAAATGTTTTTTGTAATTGCGTTATAGAGGTCAGCTTGCTCTGCACGTATACATTCAAGATAAAATGCTACCATAGAGGAAGGTGCTGTACTTCCTTCTTCCTTCACTCTTCCCAGTGTCCCTGACCTGTAACTTAATATCTGGTACATACTGTTCACTCAACAAATAAGCATGTACATGGCAAGCACCCAAAAGGGAACGGAAGCTTTCCCAAATCAGGGAGAGCTCAAGAAACGAGGGCCGCTTACAGGCAGCCTCCTGTGGCCCTTTTACCTGTCAGGGACATTAGGTGGGTACAGATGTCTTGAAAGGACACCAGGTAAAAGGAGTTCCCATGGCCCTGCCTTTAACTATGACTTAACAATGCCCTTTAGTTACCTGATCTATCCCGCACCCCCACTCCTGTGTTCTTTTTAGCCAGGGCTACCCGAAGATAAAAATATGATCTGAAAACAAATCTTTTGCTTTCCTTCATGAAGTCCCTTAATTAAGAAGACAGTGGTTTTGTGCCTTGAGTATGCCGAGAGTAAGATACAGTTCCGGATCTCAGGGGACTCTTGGCTGTTTCTATAGGCTGACCAGAAACTTTACCCAGACAATAGAGCGTTTCAGGAGTGGCACTTCAGCAGCCACTTCTGCACTTCAGCAGAGAAGGGCTAGGAAAGGGCTTCCAGGGGGCAACGGGGAAATGTCAGCTGAGTCGTGAGAAGTAAAAGCGAGTCATGCAAGCGGCAGGGGCAGGGCTTTCCCAGTTGATGGGAGCCCTGAGAGTATTTCAGTGTGACCACAACTTAAGAGTGTCTTTTGGTTCTGGGTAGAGAGGCAAAGGACCTTAATGTGTTTCTGAAAGATGTTAAACAGCAAGAGTAAGGTGATCACACTTGGGCTTTTGTAACGGTCTGGCAGCAATATGGAGGGTGGGTTGGAGAGGAACAAGACCAGAGCCAGGGGTGCCAGTTAGGAGGCAGCTCGAGGAGAGCAGGCAGAGACAGAAGAGGGGACTAGACAGTGGACAGAGTTGGGGACATGTGTTATCAAGAGAGCTTTAGGGATAGAATTGGAGGGCTTAGTAAAGAGATGCAACTTGGAGGGAGAGAGAAGGCCAAGCTTTTCTTGTTTCTGTGTGAAGAGCCAGGTGGAAAGGGCGCCATTGGCCAAGGCTGAGAACAGGAGTAGGGGCAGGTTTAGGAGCCTGCTTGGGCTTGTTGACCCAGGAGATGTTCAGCGGACAGATACATGTGTGGGCCTGGAACTCAGGGGAGATTGCTGGGTATCGCCAGCTTTTAGGGGTCATTGAAACCATGAAGTTGAGTGAGAGGCAGCACTCATAGTACGAGAAGAAGAGAACTGAAGACAGAGTTTGAGGAAACCTCAGTAGCTAATGGGGAGGTTGAGAAAGGGAAGTCTGAGAAGGAGGCGGTGTAGGGACACTTTCTAGGAAAGAGAGGTGCCACCCAAGCCAAGGAAGGCATGGTGGAGGGCTGCAGAGAGGTCTGGGAGAGGCCCAGCAGAAGGCTGGCCAGAGCTCACATTGCCAGCAAAGAGGGAGCTCCAGGAAGGCCGCCTTAGAGTCAGGGACTCTGATGCCCTGGGGGAAAACACCTTAGACTTGCACTTGCTATTACTATATACAAGGGTATATAAGCACAGGATGTTGTTGAAGTGAGCTGATCAGCAGAAAGGAAGAGACTACAGAGCTGTCAGTTTCAGGGCGGGGCGGGGGGGGGGGGTTGGGGAACAGCCCTGAGGGCACCTGTTCTGGTCTTCAGGTATTTGAGCAGAGCCGGGAAAGAGCCTGGGCACTGGCCCCCAGTAGGCCTGGATTCACACCCCAGCCCTTCACAGATTAGCTGTGTGGACACCTGGAAAAGCTTTTCTTTTCTTTTTTTTAACCTTTCTGAGTCTTATTTATTTCTTTTTGTAAAGGGAGGGGTCTTTGGATAGTTAAATTAGTTAACACATGAAACATGTTAGAGGTACTCAGCAAATGGTAACCCGTGTCCCTCTAATTAACCCCTCTGACTACATCAAGTCAGGTAAGAACTACCCTCAGGAATCTCCAGGTCACTGACAGATGTGCATGAACATCTAGTCATGTGGACCTGACTTCTGTTTAAGTACAACATAGCTGCCCCCTCCCCAAAATTGGCTTATGGAAGTATATCTGTGGGAATGAAGTAAGTAACAATAATGATAACCCCCTTAAATATAGGGTAGAGTGAAAGTCTGCACACCATACGTGGGTCCAGTACTGCCATTCAACATTTGAAGCGTGGTGAAAGGCTGATGGTACGGGACGACAGATTTCCCTGTGTCCTAATGTTTTTATCAAAATAGGTTAAAAAATAAACATAAAGAGTAAAATTGCCTACCAGCAAGAAGTTTGTATCCTCAGCATTGTAGCCACTTTTGCAGGCCTGCTTACAAGAGTCAAACTGGAATGGATTTTGTGGCAAAAATACCAGATTAGGAATGAACTAAGGGATTGGTACATAGAAAGGAGGAGGAGTTTAGAGACTGTAAAGTAGTGACATTAGAAGGCAATAATTTGGAGGTCAAACTGGGAGCCCTTCGGTGCAACCTGGCTTGCAGACTCACTTCGCTTGGTATACACAGTGATTTTGGTAACGCTTGAATCCATTGCCAACACTGAAATACTGGGAAACTTTATACTGTAGCAGTGTTTTCTGGACTTGACTTGGACCTGAGGCAGCACTGGCCCACAGTCCAGCCAAGGCGCCCCTCCACTTCCCTGTCGTCCTAGGCTGCTCCTGATGGGTCCTGCTTTCTTCCCTTGCTTGTTCTAGCTGCTGGGCTCCTGGCAGACAGTAAAGGGAGCTGTGCAAGAGGGTAGAACAAATACGTGAACACTTGAAATCAACTATTTTCTAGTGATAAGATCTGGGACTTTATGGCAAAAAGGTGCCCAAGCATCTTGTTTTTTGATGGCCCTCAGTGTATACTAGGGAGTCTTAAAATCACTTATATACAGATGCTCATTGTTTGCTTGTGTTATTTTCTCTGTAAATAATCTTTTTAATTTTGATACGAACCCTCTGAGGTAGGTATTGCTGGTGTCATTTTCCCATTCTACAGAGAGACTGTAAAGTAATATTATTAGACCCCTTGCTCAGGCCGTGGCTGATGGTACAGAGCTTGGATAGCAGTACCTAGGTCTTTGTACTGAATGCCCTCCCCGCGCTCTCTTCCTGCCTCAGTGAGTTCCAGTGCAGTAAAAACATGAACTTCCATGTTAACCCTTCTTGTCCTAAAAGCCTTGAGATTGAGATTTTAAATATATACATTTCCCCACGTGGTATTATGTAGATATAAGGTTTTATGCTCTATTAACCTATTTGGAAAACATTGTCTACCCTATATGACATTGAGGCATCTCATAAATTGAGAATTGTAGCACAAAATTTTATACTTTATAGTCGCTTTAAAAAACTTGTTTAAAACTCTTGAAATATAATACATCTAGAAAAGAGCATATCTCGTGCGTGTATAGCTCAGTGCATTTTCCACAAGGTGAACCCGCCCACAGAGTCAACACCCAGATCAAGGTAGAGCGCTCCCCAGCGGCTTCCCTTCAAACCCCCTTCCAGGCATTTCTCATCCCCCCAGATGACCACTATGCCAATTGCTGAGAGCAACCTCAAGTTTCTCCAGTATGCAATGTAGTATTCTTAAGCAAACTGAAACCTCATGAGGAACATTTCGGTTTCTTGATATTTCCCATAAGAAATGTGGCCCTGGGCCACACCCAAGACTGCAGCTCCCAGTGCTGTGCCTGACCAGCAAGACAACTGTCCCTCTGCGAGAGCCAGGCCCCCTTCCCTTCGCTCCTGCGGTCCCAACACAAGACGTGTTTCCGTTGACCATTCTAGACTACTTAACGTCTTATGTGGTTCTGGTGACAAGAATGTACTTAAACTTTGCCCTTTCTCTTTGTAAAATGACAGTATTCTGCCAATCTCTCCTAAATTGTTTCAGTTTGAAGGTAAGTACTGTGATTTAGAGTAGTTGTCCAGATGTGAATAGATTAATTCTAAATGTGCTTAAGTGCAAAGTTCTACAACTGATGTGATTTCTAGTGAAAATGTTTTCTAAGAGCTTTCTCAAATTTAGAAAATGATACCATTCCAGCAGTTACTCATTGTTACAGATTTTCATAAAGTTATGAGTAAATTTATAGTTCATTATAAGAAATGAGTGTTTTGCTTATTTCTAAAATAAGATAAAATGTCCTGTTCCTTTTTATAATAGCATGGTATTGTCTTACGGTTACATTAATATCTTAGTTAACTAGCATGATGGGAGTTGACCCAGGTGCTAAACTAGCAGAATTCTCCAAGAGAAGCGGACTTTGCTGCAACACAGCTCACTGACCCCTCCCTGTGGGAGACAGATGGACAGAGTCTGAAATTCTCTGTCTTGGGAACACTGTTCTTTCCAATTGGCCTTCGTTTATATACATTCATGACTACATCTATCTATCAGCCATAAATCTTAAATCTAGTTAATCTTGCTTCCCATTCCCCTCCAAAGTAGTCTCTGATCATTTTACCTTCTATGTGCTTCTGGCTCGGCATAATATACAATATAAGTCACTTAGAGGGGAAATTATGCAGAAAAAAAGAAAGCTTTAGAAATTATTGGTAAATGGTAGCTACCTCATAGTTAACCCTACCCAACCTAAACATGCAGCACATCCTTTAATATAGCTGTCTACCCTGGTACCCTGTTTTCCTCTCTGTGTTCCCCTCCCACATGCACCGCCTCATGACCTTTGCTTAACCTAAGTCAAGCCCTCTCAGCGTAACTGCGTAACTGCCGAAACTCTTAAATCTCCAGGCTTCGCTTCTGGATTGCTTGTCCTTGGTGAAAATGCTATCAGGCCACACCCTTAGTGCTATTGGCCTGAGGATGCCACTTAACGTCTGTTACTAAGTAACAGTAAATCACCCTAGCCTGAACTCTCACATTTGGTATTTTGCCAGAAGAAAGGTGAGTTAATTATGAAAGGTATTATTTTCAAACCACCCACTAAAGATTCTTTGGGTGTCCAGCTCATCCTTAGCCAAACAGCAACTAGGAAGGTGAACCATGAGAAGCTAGTTACTGTGTTGAAGGGATATAAAGGGTGTATATCGCCTGAGGCAAATATGGCGAGGTGAACTTTGTAAAAACATCCTTCAAGGGAGTAAAGGGCATTAATTACTTACTGCCTCACCTATTTTAGGGGCCATTAGAGAAGTGCATAAATGAAAAGCATAGGAAAAAAAGTCCAATAAGGAGCCTGATCTCTTAATGACAAAAAAATAAGCAGTATTCCACCCAAAATATGAAACTGAAAAAAACTCAGTATAGAATAAAGAATATAACTAGTATTTTTCACCTATATTTAGTATTACATGATTTACTCTATCAAATCCATAGACAGACTGTCTTATAATTTGGATTAGTTGGACAGGACCAGATAGACTAAGTTCTGCCTCTGGTTTTCCCTCTGCTTTAAATAACCGAGAGCAAACCATTTAAACTGCCTATGTCCCTTTATCTTCTTCCTGGAATGTAAGTAATTATACTTAACTCTCTCTCGTGAATATCAGTGAATTGTACTTCTGAAGTGATTTTAAATCCCTATGTTTTGGAAAATGAGCATAATATATAGATATGATTATGTTATAATGCTACAGTAGAAAGCTTTTTAACTTCTCTAAAGTTTAAAAGCATTCTTTTGAGACAGCTCAGAAAGCATATTTAATTTTTTTTCCATTTTAACCTTGTAGTAGACGCTAATAGAATTTTGGGAATCCTAGTCATCGAGAATGTTGAAATAGATCAATGTGCGGAAAAGCCTTGGTAATATAGTAACTTGATATGCACGATAGGCTATGCAGCATTTTATTTCTTTGCCTTCAGTATTTGAATTCGTATTCTGTGTATTCTTTGAGATGATATAAATTATTTATGACTGCAATATCAAATCTGTTTCTTTTAAAAAAAGAAAATCTTACCTCTTCCCTGATATCAATTTTGACACAGGATCATGAATTTTCAGATGAAGAACTAGAGGACATGGATGAGGAAATTGATGAATATCCGGAAGGCAAGAAGAACATACCAGCGGATGAAGCCAATGACAACTCAGCTGAAAAGGTATTGATTGACACCACTGAAAAGGTATGATGATATGTGCTTAAATCCTGAGATCCTGCCTAAGAGCAAGTTCCATGGTCTCTGCAGAGGGCAGACTCCAGCTTCCTTTGGGAGCAGAAATACTTCTCTGAATAACTTGGTTCATGCGCTATAGGAAAAGCTTTGGCAGATTTATAAATCAGGCACACTTTGTTTCTAACACCCTTTCCACACTTCTTGGTAGCAGTTTGTTCCCGGCTTGAGTGGAAATGAACTGATATGGGCCAGTACAATATACTGTTGAGAAATTAACCGAGAAGTTCAGCACTGGGTCCTTGAAATGATCAAATTACAAAGTTAGGAGCCCTATACTGGTGGCAGGAATGAGGCGTGGGTGTGTGCACACATACATGTGTATATTTACATGTATGTGGACAAGTGAAAGCTGTTCACAGCGGTCTTTGAAGCCGGCTGTGATCAGTTCTGTACAGATGTGGTGTAGAAGAAAGGAATTATAGGAAGAAAAGGGGGAGCTATCACTGAGG